CTCCACATACTTATAATCTCTTTCCCATGTCTCTCTTTCACAGTACCCCTTGATCACCATTCAGGTAAGAGACTTGTTTTTTAAAATGTCACATACAAAGGTGAAATCCTGAGTGTGAATGTATGTGAGACATGTGACTGGCCACATTCTGCTCTCAGATCCAGTAACAGAACTGCACAGTATGTCTATCGAATCCAGGGGAGCACGTCCAGCTTTACAAGCAGAGCTCAGCCCAACAACAGCAAAAGTTGTTCTGTCCAAATGGTATTTCTGTTTCACTCCTTCCTATCAAGAGTACCAATTGCTTTGGATTATTTGCATAACTTGCCCCTGCTGAAAAACAAGGAACAATTGTAGCTAATGGCTGCAATTACTAGCTGCCTTGGATCATGAAGAGTTTTAGCAACTATACAGCATGTTGTGTTTTTGTTAATAAGCAAGAAAGTTTCAGTTCCCTTCCTAGCAGACATCTCTGCAAGAATTTACTTTTCCAGTGCAGCCCAGCCATCAGCTGTCGCATACAGTGAAATTTAAACATTACAGAGTTGGACATTGTTCACCAACAAGGCAATTGCAAGAAAGCCTTTATTTTAACCAGCTTAGAATGAGGGATTTTAAAAAAGGCTGTAGGATCCCAAATCAGTGAGAGGGGGAGAGTATTAGAATGCCCTCCTGATCCTGTCTCTTCCCTCCTTTTCAATTTGGGAGGTGGGGGCGGGGAGGCTGGGACAATGTAGGGGCAGTGTCATGAAAAGGGTTTGTTTGTGGGATGAAACAGGTTAAAAGGAAAGGATGAAGGGGGATCTTTCTTCCCTTCCCATCCTTCATATCAGCATGGAGCCTCCTGCAGTGTAGGGCAGGGTGTGAGACACCAGGGTTTATCATTTGGTAAAATGGGATAGCTCAGGGCAGAGAGTTGAGTGTGTGCGGAGGGATGCAGGAATCAGGATTGGGGGTGTAAGGAGGGGCTCAGGGCAGCAGGCTGGGGATATGTGGGTGCAGGAATCAGAGTGGGGGGTATGAGGAGGGGCTCAGGGCAGAGAGTTGGGTGTGTGTGTGGAGGGATGCAGGAATCAGTATAGGAGGTGTGAGGCAGGGCTCAGGGCAGAGAGTTGGGGGGGGATGCAGGAATCAGGGTAGGGGGTGTGAGGAGAAGCTTAGGACAGGAGGCAACAGGCTGGGGGCCCTGGGCAGGCACTTGAAATATGTGTATCTGTTTAGGGGCAGTGTGCGGGTGGGGGAGGGAGGCTGAAATCCCACCCCCTGAGATTCGTACCAGAATGCTGCTTGCTGTCCCCTTCCCCACTCTCAGGGAGCGAGAGGGAAGTACACAGAGTGTATGTCTCCCTCCTCAGCCCCTGCCCTCCCCTGCCAGAAGGGAGAGGAATTGCGGCATGCTGTTTGCTTTCCTCTTGCTCCCTGGGAGTGACAGGAAGGAAACAACAGCAAGCAGCATCCTGGTGTGAATCTTGGGTGGCGGAGGGCTTCAGCCTCCCAAATGATGCTGTGGGGAGTTGGGGTTGGGGCAGCCCCACACTGGGAAGGGGAAGCTCCCCCAGCCAACCCCTTTAAACTACCTGCTTCTGCTTAGCATGTCTTCAGGGCTCTCCTGCAGGCTGCCGACTAGGAGCATGCTATGCCTCCTCCTGCCGCTGAGCATCCCACTCTGCTGGCTGCTTCTTACTGGAGTGGATCAAAGCCTGTAGGCCATTTACACTGTGGGGGATTCTATCCTGGTAAACAATGATTCTGAAAAATATATGAGATTTGTGAATAATCAGCTGACTAGCACCCCCCAATGCGATCCTGTGGCCGGAAGAGCTAATGAGATGTATCAACAGAGGAATCTTGAGTAAAAGTAGAGAGGTTGTTTTGCCTCTGTATTTACCATTGATGTCACCCTTGCTGGAATACTGTGTCTAGTTCTAGTGCCCCAAATTCAAAAAGGATGTTGATAAATTGGGAAGGGTTTAGACAAGAGTCACATGAATGATTAAAGAGAACGTCAGAGCTCATTCTATTTAAATTCATAAAGAGAATGTTAAGGGGGGGACTTCATTGCAGTCTATAAGTACCTACTTGGGAAACAGCTGTTTAATAATGGACCTTTCAATCTAGTGGAAAAGGTGTAGCATGATCCAATGGGTGGAAGTTGAAGTTAGACACATTCAGATTAAAAACAAGGGGTATAATGGTGAGAATAGTGAATCCCTGGAACAATTAATGAGGTGTCATGGTGGATTATCTATCACTATCAATTGTTAAATCAGATTGGATGTTTGTCTAAAAATACACCGTAGGAATTATTTTGGATAAAAATGTCTTGCCCGTGTTACACAGAAGTCAGCCTAGATGATCACAATGGTCCCTTCTGGCCTTTGAATCTATAAAGCTATGAAACAGGTGAAGGTGGGGGAAGTCAGGCTAAATTCAACATGCACCAAAATCGTCAGATGGCAAAAACCAGAATACTTAGGCCTGGTCTATACTACGGCTAATGCTCATGTAACGTTGCTCAGGGGTATGAAAAAGACACACCCCATAGCTATATAAGTCACATCAACCTAAGCGCTGTCCAAACCGGCACTTAGTCAGCAGGAGGCCACTCTGCCACTAACACATCTTGCACAGAGGTGGAGTCATTGGAGAGCTCGCTCCTGTTGACATAGAGCATTTTCACTGGGTATGCTTCAGCAGGGCATATGCAGCTGCACTGCTGTAGCACTATAATGCAGACTTGGCCTCTGATATTTACTATAGACAGTTATTTAGCACCGATTAGTGTCACGTAGGTATGACAACAACTTACCTTGTGTCTTTGATTCCTGTTGCACCTGCTAATAGCAACACATAAACCTGTGTGTCCACAAGAGCCAGGCTACCCATTCTGGGAAACGTGGGTCAGAAGGAGCTCAATAGCACACCAGGCTTCCTTTCAGAAAAGGAAACAAGCTGGGCCTGTGCCTTTTGTCCTGCTCCCTCTGCCTGCTAGGATCCACAGGGCAATCGGATCTTCCAGTGGCTGAATGTGACATCTCGGAAAGCCATTGTCCAGCTCACATTCCAGCTCATCGAAGAGCCAATGCTGGGCAGCTACCAAATCATTGTGGGGAAGAAGTCTGGCACTAGCATTCATTACTCGTTCACTGTTGATGAATATGGTAAGCACCTGCTGTTGCTATCATTTCTACTAGGGAAACCAAAGTTGAAGTAGGCCCCATCTGTCATACTTAGACCCACTTTGTCACTCCCCCAAAAGAGTACATTTCAGATGCAGATCTGTGTGTGGGTTTCCTGACCCCACTGTGAATAGACCAAGTCTGCTATGTCCTCACTGGAGTCTAGAGACCTTAGCTGGGGCCCAGACTCATCTCATCCCTGCAGTTTGGGCATGCGGGTAACTGACTAACAAGACACATGTGTTCTTGAGTGTCTTGCAAGCCCAAACTTCCCACTAAACTCCATCCCCAAGCATGGCTCTTTCTAGGGCTTGTCTCTAAGAGAGCCTTCACCAAATTGGAGCCATCAGAAATCACCCTAGATCTGCATACAGGTTTGAGCTCCCAAATCAGGGTTGAATCAACAGAACAGCCTTGCATTCCTTTCTCCTCTCCCCTCCCTGCTCCTGCTTACAAAGTTGTAGTGATGGCTGCTGCTGCAGGGCAGGCTCCTCTCACTTTCTCTGCCTTCCCAGCATAGCTGGGGGCTACTGTCCCACAGGGCTGGCTCAAGCCATTCCTGCGCCCCGGGCAGCAGGCACGCGATGCATGCACGGCTCCGCCCCTGGGTGCATGGCGCATGCACGACCCCACCCCCCAGTGCGCTACACATCTTATATCTGCCATCAGGCACCACCCAGGGCCGGGGGCCATGCGGCACCTGATGGCAGCTCTAAGGGGTGCCGTGCGGCCCCCAGCCCCAGGCGTGCTGCGTCTGATGGCAGCTCTAAGGGGCACTGTGCAGCACCTGGCCCCGGGTGCATAGCACCTGATTGAAGCAGTAAGGGGTGCCGCACGCCACAGGTTGGTGCCCAGTGCAGCTGCCTGGCTAGCCCCCACCCCTTAATCCGGCCCTGCTGTCCCAACTCATCGTCTGGCCACCTAGGGCCCCTCCTGCTTGGAACTGTCCAGCAGGGTGCACCACCAGCCCTACTGGGCAATGTAAAAGGGCCTGCATCTCCCAGCCCCTGCTACTGTGGCAGCAGCCAGAGGATCCCAGACAATTGCACCCTTTGACCCCCTTGTCAGTGGGCATGGGTATGGCTAGGCTGTGCAACTCCTCCTCTAGTTCTGTGCTGCTGGGTCTTCACTCTCTTGTTACCCCAGCTAGCTTTGACCTACCTGTGCTGCAAGCACATGACTGCAGCATGTGCAGTATGTCTCTAGGTATTGTTCCACCTTTTGAATTACACTTGTCTTCTCTTTCTCTCCCTGCCTCCCCTCCCTGACACATTTAGACACTAGTTGCCTTTACTTAATGTGCTGTTTGAGAACTTGAATTAAAAATAGTAAAAAGCCAAGAAGAGAAGATTAACATCTCCTTTAGGTGCAGGCTGTGGAAAGGGTCCTCTAAGGCAGGTCATGAAGATTAAGCAGCAAAGATGAAAAGTTGGCACCAGGAACTAACCTTTATCCTAGAAGCACCCACGAGCTTTCTCCAAACACAGTGTGGAGTCTAAATACTGCTTGTTTTATGGCTTGTGCTTCCTTAAGTAGCACCCCAGAGCAAATCCATTACTTTTCTCTGTCGGGTTTACTGATAACTGGTGGAGCATTTAACCACAATGATTCCCAAGTGTTAAATCTTCGCCAACCCAATTCAGAGCACTCTAGTTCCTGCCTGCCGCATGTTAGTAGTAACTAAACAATGGGAGGATCCATTTCTCACCTAGGAGCTAATGTGCCTTTTCCCCCCCATACCAGTGCTACCAAAGTTTGAAGTGATGGTCCACGCACCAAAAAGTGTCACAGTGCTGACTCCCGATTTCACGGTGAAAGTTTGTGGTGTGTAAGTATCTGACTCAGCGCTGCAGCGACTGGGGCAGGGTGAGACCTTCACGGAAAGAGGCAAGAGGGCAGGCATCAGTGGGAGCCATCGGGGGTGAGGACAAAGCAATCAAGCCATCAGAATGGGCCAATCAATCCTGGCTTTGGGGATAGCAGCCTCTGTTTCTTTGTGTTCCTCTGAATGGTGGGTAGGTGGAATTGTATTGGTTGCACAGGTGTATGCTGGGTTGTACACAGCATTATCTGCTTCCTTATGGGGCCCCCTAGGATGGGCTCACCCAAGTCAGTAGCATGGAGTGAAACCCCAGTAAGGGCTGCAGCAGCCAAGTGGGCCCTGGGTCACTGAGCTGGGGCTGTCCAGTGTGTCCAGTTGGGCTCAGTCCTTGAAAGGGGCAGAGCAAGGTGATGATTACGTTGAATCTAAAGGTGAAATCCCAGCCCCACTGACAGCAATGGGAGTTGATTTCCCTTCCTGTGCCTCAGGGAGTCAGCTCCATCCCAGGACATCAATGAACTCCCTTCCTCCCCCACCAGGAGAAAATGGCCTCCAGTGTTGGGAGCAGTGATTATTAAATGTGAGGTTTGAAAAGTAAGGGCAGGAGTAAGCTCTCATTTTAACTTCCCCCAAGGCAAAGCTCAAGGAGTTGCTTAGATCCTTGGTTTGGCTCAGACGTGTCTCCATTGCAAAGGAGATGCATCTGTCATCACAGGATTGAGGAGAGGACAGCTTAAGACCTGGACAACGGTACACCCACTTCCTGTAGCTCTCAGGAAAGAGATTAGAGCACAGGGAGCTTTAGAGTTGGTCTGTGCAGAATTGCACTGCGCTGCAAAAGAGCATCAAGTGTCTCTACAATAATGTTTGCCAATGTGGGGGACACTGACCTAGACTGGGGGTCTCACTGGATCAGCATGGCCAGAGAAATATCCCGGCCTCCCAGTTTGTGTCTGCCCTTACTCTGCAACATGCAAGTCTAATGGCAAATAGGTCTATGAGTCCAGCCACCTCTTTTCTCTGCTTCTCTTAAGGTCCTGGCTCACATGTAAAGCCTGGCAGAATAGCTCAGTCTGAACTTTTCCCAGTAAAAGCTGGCAATTAAATGATAACATAACATTGTTTAATCAACGTTGGTTTTGCAGAATTGTTTCTGATGAAGCCAACCCTCCCCCTGGATCCCTAGTTCACACAATGGTATGAAGAAATTAAAACGTGTTGTTTTGACATTTTGGAAATGAAACATTTCTATTTTTTAATTCAAAACAATGGTATGCTTAGAAATTTCCTTTTCTTTTTAAATTTGAGCAAATTCTTGACATTTAAAAAAGTCACCTTTTCAATTCCTCCACAATGTGAAAATGTTCCTTATTTCAACCAAACATGGATTTTTTTCCCCAATTTTTTGGCATGGCTGGAAAACCAAAAAGTCTCCCTTTATCATCCAGCTCTCCTCCCATGAGGGTGGCAACTGGCGAATGCAGCAACTCTACCATCTCTGCTTCACTGGTGTGGCTCTCAGCTCAGCCTCCAGTGGCCCCAGTGTCCTGAGGATGTTGGGAGCTGCTGGGGGATGGCAGAGACAGGAGGGGAGTTGGACTGAACAAGCAAGAAAGCAAAGAAAATGTGAAATACAGTGCAAAGGGGAAAAGCCGATGAAAATGAGCAATGAGACAGAAAAGAAGCAGAACAAAGGAGTGAAGATAGCAGATGCATGAGGACAGGGAAGGGACAGGCTGAGAATCACTGCTCTGAGAGCAACTTGGAAGCTCCTTCGTGGGCACAGACAGGAAATGACAGGCTGCTTTCTTACAGCAAATGAGTATGGGGCAATGGAGATATGGGAGAATAAACTCAGCTGCAATGTCCCCAGACAGTGAGAGGTGTCACCAGTGTACAGACATTGCCATGAAAATCCTCGCCTTTGCTGCTTATAGATAATGAAGCTTTCTGCAGTATGCCGACATCTAGGCAGAAAGCACACACGATTGTTCCCCTCTGTGGGCTCTTGGGAGGGAGGGGTTCTGGACCTGTAGCTGTATGTTCGGTCAGGTAAGCCTCTTGTGTCCCCAATTCACTGTTCTTCTCCTTCTCCAGGTACACTTATGGCCAGCCGGTTGAGGGCAGAGTTCAGCTCAGCGTGTGCAGGGATTTCAGTTTGTATGGGAGCTGCAAGAGAGATCCACTTTGTCAATCTGTCACCAAAGCTGTACGATACTCAAACACTATTTAGCAAAGATTTCATCCTTCCCTCTTCTTCCCTGTTGCTCTGCTCTTTCTTCCCTTTGTTCCTCCCTTGTAATGCAAAGAGCACAGGACTTGGACTCAGAAGACCTGAGTGCTCATCCTTGCTCTGCCACTGACCTGGTATGCCTCTTTGCCTCTCTTTGCCTCCTTTTCCTCATCCATAAGGTGGGGATAATGACATGGGTCTCCTTTTCAATCTGGTTTGATACCTGTGGGGAAAAGTGCTTAATAACAACAATACTATTGTCTTTTCCTTCTTTTCCTAATCCCCTCTTGATCTTTGAACTTAAATTGTATTTGAACTAGTTTTAAACCTTTCCCCAACATTGTGAGAAGGGTTTGAGTCTTTGAGTCCTTTGGGTGGTGGATAGCTTGAGGATAGTATCATACAGCAAGACATTTGGGATGGAGTATCTGGCTACACAGAACTTACTGTCTGAATGGCTATCTAATATGCCAGTGTCTATAGGGCTCCAGGCACCATGAAGATTAGTCACAGTCTGGAGAGAAGTACCTTCAGATTAGAGAGGAAAAGTCCTTCATTGGAACAGTATTGGAGATGGTTGTATGCACCAGTTTAAATATTCAGTATTAGCTCGGGGAACTAGAACCTATGTCATAGGGGCAAGTGATGTTGACTAGGAAACTGGCTTCTATTCAGCTCTTGGAAAAGTACTACATGGTTCATCACCTTCAGGAAGATGGGATGAACCTCTCCCTGAAAAGACCAGACCTTTAATGCAGCATAGTCCTCCAGCCTGCATTGCTGTCCTACAGTGCTAGCACTCACTGGCTTCCTCCATATAGACTCTCACAGTGCAGTTTGTCCAGGCACTGGGCACAGCCCCAGGGATTCAGCAATGGATCTGTGCCCAAGTCTTAGCCAGGAATCTGTACCCAGCTCCCTCCAACCCAGAGACTAGCTATGCCAGGCACAAGTATGATCATAATGTCCTTTCATATGAATACTTTCAGAGGGATAGCTGAGTTAGACTGTAACAGGAAAAACTTTGAAGAACAGCAAATAGTCTTGTAGCACCTTAGAAACTAACAAAGCATGTAGATGGCATCATGAGCTTTCATGGGCACAGCCCACTTCTTCAGATGACCTGAGTGTTGGAAGGCCAGATCCAAGAATAAATAAGGGAAAAGGCGGGAGAGGGGGAGACAGTGAGTAGATTGTTCAAGTAGTTACAAGAAGCTGATAAGAACAGTTAGCACCTCCATCCATTGGTTGGTTGGATAAGTCATTAGGATGTGGCAGATAGTGTGGGAGCCAGCTGATGTCCCTGTTCGTACCATTAAGCATAAGAATTAAACTTGTAAATGAAGTTAAGTTCTAACCCTTCCTTGTGTATTTGGTTTGTGGAGTTGGCCTGACACAACACGGTGACTTGGAGATCCATTAATGAGTGCCCAGGCAGGGTTAAAGTGTTCTCCAACAGGTTTCATTCATATTTCTTATAAATACTGTTACTTTGTCTCAAGGGACACCCTCTTTGCCCCCTTTGGCAAAGCAGATCCCCCACTCTCCTGACCCTGCAGAAAACTGGGCTCTTTCCCGTCTCAGTGACTGTGTCCTTCCCTTTTCAGATGGGAAAGGATGGCTGCATTTCCCATGTCTTCAGCTCCAAGATCTTTGAGCTTAATCGTGCTGGGTACCAGATGAGCCTCGTTGTGGAAGCAATTGTGACTGAGAAAGGAACAGGTAACACCTTCCAATCAGTCAGAAAGGAGATGGGGCGGGAGGGAGGCATAATGATGGAAAAGGGTGAGAGAGACAGCTTTGGTGCTCTGTTGAATCTTTGGCTGCCTAGCACAAGGTTCAGTTCCCAGAGAAGATCCACTTTATAAACGCAGTGGCTAATGATCTCCAAGGCAAATGCTTAGTTGTTTAATTTGATTGTGTTTAAACAATGTTTAAATCAAGACTAATTAATTGTTGTCTCATCCTCCCCCCGGGCCTGTCTTGCAGGTGTGCGGCTTACAGGCTCTGCTTACATAACCGTAACTCAAGTGCTGGGCAGTGTACGATTTGAGAATATGGATCAATCCTACAAAAGGGGAATTCCTTACTTTGGACAGGTAGGCCAGCAGCGAGGGTCAAATTGCTGGGTCAAATTGCTATATCCTGGGTGATAGGAGGGGTCTGTTAGCTAGGAGAGCTGTGTGTTGGGGTCCGGCAATGGCACCAAGTCTTTCACTACATGAGGTTTTCTTCTGACACAGATTTATTCTCTCTATTTACACTGCAGTTTAGAACAAAAAAATTACTTTAATAAACAACATGTGTCCGTTCTGGCTACAACTCGGTTCTTCAGTGGCTGCTGGAAGGGCCATTGCTGCCTGTCCCAGTGTCCTTCCCCTTCCTGCTCTGGTGCCTCCTCGCAGCTTGGGGAGCTTGCCCAAAAAGAGGAACCCCTGATGATCAATGAGTTTGTGGCTTTACTCTGAGGTCTTGTCTCTATTGAGGGGAAATGTTTGTGTTTTTAATAAGCACGTATGAATTAACATGCTTTGAACTGCATGTTCAGTGTGAGCTGAGTTACCCCCACTTGCGCACGTTTGGCTATGACCAGTTAACTTGAGCTAATTGAAGTTGTTTTTGTTTTTATATTGGAAAATGACCGTGTTTGTTTTAATGGCATTTTTTGTTTCTTGACCAAAATATGTCACTTAGCAATTTTTCATCTAAAATGTTTTATTTTTGTTATAGGAAGGGGGGGACAGCCCCATTTAAAAAATTTCCTTTCCTTCAATTGGAAGAAGGGGGAATTAAAAAGTAAGACACAGTTGGACAAATAATTGTCTCTCTCTAATATTTTCACCAGGAAAAGGTCAGTGTAACAGTCTCAGGATGTGTCTACAGAGCAACAAAAGCCTGGGCTTGAGTCTGGGCTCAAGACAAGCACCTCTTGCATCCATGCCAATTGTGCTGACCTAGGGCTCTGATCCAGGGCATCAGAATCATGCAGGCTTGAGGGTCTGAGCCAATGTTATGCTGGAACCTAGAGTCCAAGCTCTATTGCTTTCCTGTGCACAGGTGGCCCTGGCTTGACTTGGATCCCAGAAATACTCCTGATATACCCCAGAATTCAAGGCATCAGAGGAACAGCACTGCAGGCAGCCAGCATGGCTGCTGGAAAGGCCATTACTGCCTGTCTCAGTGCCCTCCCCCTTCCTGCTCCAGCGCCTCCTTGCAGCATGTGGAGCTTGCCCCGAACAGGGAGCAAAGCTGACAGGGCAGTGGCTTCCATTTGTCTGGGTATTGGGGGTCATCCCTTCCTCATCTATGCTGAGTTGGGAGCCCTGCTGCTTCCGCTCCCTGCAGGGTGGCACTTGCTCCTTGCTTTACTGGCTGGGAGCATGTCTACACTAGCTCGTTAGTTCGAGCTAGGTAGGCAAATGAGGGCAACCGGAGCTGCAAATGAAGCCCGGAATTTAAATATCCCGGGCTTCATTTGCATGTTCCCGGACACCGCCATTTTTAAATCCCCCTTAGTCCGAACTCCGTGCCCGCAGCTACACGCGGCATGGAGTAGGTAGTTCGAATTAGAGATCCTGATTTGAACTACCGTTACTCCTCATGGAATGAGGGAATTAGGACCTCTAATTCGAACTACCTACTCCGTGCCGCATGTAGCTGCGGGCGCAGAGTTCGGACTAAGGGAGATTTAAAAATGGCGGCGCCTGGGAACATGCAAATGAAGTCCGGGATATTTAAATTCCAGGCTTCATTTGCAACTCTGGTTGCCTTCATTTGCCTACCTAGCTCGAACTAACGAGCTAGTGTAGACATACCCTGGCTTTTTTTCCTTGGCCCCCCCACCCCCAACCACCTTCAGGCCAGAGGTACCTGAGCACTGCTTGCTCCTCCCCTTCTCCCAAGGCTTCACCCCTTGGCCTGTCCACAGGCTGGGCCATGCTAAGAGCTATCCAGGGATCCCAGACTGCTGTGGGGAGCTCAGAACCTGCCCTGAGCAGTGTGCCCTGGAGGGCAGGGACATGGGTCAGGGACTTCTGTCTCAAGTTGCAGTGGGGGAGGTCTAAGTTGGATATTAGGAAAAACTATTTCCCTAGGAGGGTGGGGAAGCACTGAGATGGGTTACCTAGGGAGGGGGTGGAATCACCCAGCTTGACAAAGCCCTGGCTGGGATGATTTAGTTGGGGTTGGTCCTGCTTTTGGCAGGGAATTGGACTAGATGACTCATGAGGTCTCTGCCAGCCATAGGATTCTAACGCAATCCCTTACCCAAGGAAGGTGGAGGGCCTTGGGCTCCCCACAGCTGCCTGGCTTTTTCCACAGCCCACGACAGTGAATCCCAAACTGTGGAGTGCACTGCCTCAGGGGGACACACAAGAACATTTGGGGGGCAGTGGTGCCTGGGTTAGCCCTCATAAGGAGTGGGGAGGGAGTGCCACCCATTGCTGTTCTGCCCTCAGGTTTTCTCCAGCCCCAGCCATGGCTATGCTACTGACCATACCCCAGCTGCAGCTCCAGTCTTGTTGCTGGCCATAACCCACTTCTGGCCCCAGAATGCAGCCCTCAGCCTTGCTGTAGCCCCCGGATCCTGCTCCCGGCTCTGAGCCTTGCTTCCAAGGGGGCACAAACGAGGTATGGGGGCGGGGGCCATCACTGAAAACATTTGAGGACCCCTGATCTGTGGTATCCATATGCCTCATTTTGCCCCAAGGGTCCTAATTTTTTTTTAATCTGGGTATTTGTCCAATTTGCTCTTGTGATCAATTGATCACCGGTTGGGAAGAGTAAATAATACAAATGCCATCTTTGTCAAAAAGGGGCAGGAGGCTGAGCAGTGGGACTCTGGGGGTGAGAGCCCTGCACAGGAATAGAGGGGGCTTGGGCAAGTGGCTCAGGCTGGCTTCATGGGGGATGATAGGGGAAGGGAGAGGGGGCTCAGCCAGTTCTGCACAGGGCCAGCTGGGGAGGGAATATACCCTTCACTCTCAACAAAGGCTCATCTGTCTTCCAGGCTGAGGAATGAGGGGGAGAAGGAACAGCAGGGGCCAAGGCCAGAGTCCTGGTGCTTCTGTGGAGACCCCAAATCCTCAGCTTAAGTGTAGAAAGCTTCATTCTCAGATTAGATGGCAAGTCAGTGTAAAGCCTTCTCAGATTGTGTAGCCATTCTACTGAGACAGCTGTGGGTAGGAAACCGGGAGCACAGTAGCGTTTTCCCAGGAATGAGGGGGAGAAGGAACAGCAGGGGCCAAGGCCAGAGTCCTGGTGCTTCTGTGGAGACCCCAAATCCTCAGCTTAAGTGTAGAAAGCTTCATTCTCAGATTAGATGGCAAGTCAGTGTAAAGCCTTCTCAGATTGTGTAGCCATTCTACTGAGACAGCTGTGGGTAGGAAACCGGGAGCACAGTAGCGTTTTCCCACAATGCACCACATACCTAGGGCTACAAATGTTGATATTGGCAGTGGCGGGCTAAGCACTCTGGGGTGTATTTCACTCAGGTCAGTGGATTGCAGAGTGGACAGCAGAGCTCTAGGTTTGAGCACTAGTCAGAAAATTCTTAAGTGAGGATTAAAATGCACTGTAGATGCTCAAGCCCAATACTCCCTGAAATAGGTCAGCTTGCTGTGTAGACATATCTGTGAGTGAGCGAGAAAGTGTTGCTTTCTCTGTAGCTGTTACCTTTCTCTTTTAAAAGTTCAGGTACTATCCCTTCCCTCCTCCGCTCCCCCCCCCCCACACTTTTTTTTCCAGTGCAGGGAATGAGAAAAAAGAGGCAGAATTCCAGCTTACCCCATCAACACCATGAAATCAACTTTACCAAACAAAATGAAGATAAGACACCCCCCAAGCAAACACCAATCCCAATTGAAATGTTGAAAGTTCCAAATTAGTCAAGTTTTAAACTGCTTTTTTCCTAACTTTTTGAAAAATGAACATTTCATCAAACCAATTTTTTTTGTAAAAAAATTAGTTTTGACAAAATCCAATTTTCAGTGAAAAAACTTGTCAAAAAGCTTCAACCAACTCTATTGCTAATACATTTTTAAACACAACTGCCTGTCCACAGTAAGGGCAACACTGAGTTTATAATCAGGTAATGTTTTCTAAAGTAATGCTATTTCCTAGTAAAGACTTGAGTCTTTGGTTCATTACTTTACTCTCCAAGGATTCTGAACGGCGAGTTAGCTTGTTACCTGCTAGTAATATATGGACTTAGATCTTGACATCCTGGCAATAGATTATAATGAAATGAAAATGTTGACCATACTATTAATTCTGGGTATCCCGGCTCCCATTGAATGGCATTGCTCCCTGAAAAAGAACCACTTTAGTATTACTCTTTAACCCAGAGAGTTCTATTCCTAGGCTCCACTGTTCTATTCCTAAACTCCTGGAATCTAGTTGATGGAGTACAAGATTATGAGACTCTACATTTCCCAAAGAGCTCACAGACTAACACATGCATAGCAAAGAGGTGGGATTAGAACCAGGGCACATTGTGGCTGGAAGTTGGAGTGGGTTAAAAAAACAGAGCTGAGAGATGAAAGTGTGCAACAAATGGAGAGGAGTCCTTGAGGTAGGAAAAAGCAGATGGACGAGAATAGTGTGCCCTTAAACAGGGAATGGGTAGTGGGGACAGAGAAGACAAGTGATGATGAGGAAACTATGTGTCTTGGCACTTGTAAGAGGTGATGTAAGTAAAGGAGTTCACTATAGAGTGCACTCAGTCCCACACATGCTGAGATGGCTGCCATTTTAGCTCTTGGATATGCATTTCTGGGGCTAGGATTGTAGTCGATGGAAAAAGAAACACAGGCAAAACATGTATGTTCACGCTTGAGTGGCTTAGGAACTGATCATTGGTCTTCTATCTCTCTGAGACCTTTGCATTCCCCTTTCCTTTAGATCAAACTGGTAAATGAGGATGACTTACCCATTGCAAACGAGGTTGTCCAGTTGCTCCTCAATGACAAGAATGTGGGCAACTACACCACAGACGGGAACGGCACCATTGAGTTTTCAGTGGACACTTCTGAAATGTTCAATCCCCAGTTTAGCCTGAGGGTGAGTATCTGAAAAGCTAGTGGGGACAGGGTTGTACTCCCGCGAGAGGCACTCTTCTGGGGAGAGGGAAATCTGTTCTTTCTCCCTTGGATAGAACCCCATCCAAAGATGATGGGATGGGGTTTCTATTCTGATGATAGGCCGTGCTCTGGCTTCTTCCAGGCACCATGATCCAAAGCACCTTATTAAAGAGTGAGGGTATGTCTACACTACCCTCCTAGTTCGAACTAGGAGGGTAGGGATTTGAATTTCCCGGGCTTCATTTGCATAAGCGGGGAGCCGCCATTTTTAAATCCCCGCTGGTTCGAACCCTGTGCAGCGTGGCTACACGGGGCTCGAACTAGGTAGTTCGGACTAGGATTCCTATTCCGAACTACTGGTACACCTCGTGGAACCAGCGGCATTTTAAAAATGGCGGCTCCCCGCTTATGCAAATGAAGCCCGGGAAATTCAAATCCCGGGCTTCATTTGCAAGTACTGAGGGTATGTCTACACTACCCTCCTAGTTCGAACTAGGAGGGTAGTGTAGACATACCCAGAGTTAAAAGTATAAACAAGGCCAGTTAAATAGCTCAATTACTGCAATGATTATAAAAGTAAATGCAATGGCTTTTGTGCGCTCTCCAGTATCCCAGGCATTAGTTGACATTGGCAAGAGAGGACATGCTGGCCAGAAGCAGTGAGGCAAACTGTTGGGATGAGACTAAACGAGGGAATGGATGGATTTAGCCTTTTTGACCTTTTCTATTTTTCTTTTTCCTTTGGATCTTGTCTACGGAATGACTGTGACTTGCACAGACTTGCTTTTCTTTTGTACCTTTGGCACGTCTCTGCTTTCTCTGTCACCTCTCTCTGGGTTGCCCAAGATAGTCAGCTGACACTCCCGTTACCTGGGTAGCTGGATTCAGATGAAACACCTTACCAAGGGCTTGTGCAGTTCAGTCTCTGATTGGTGGCAGTGTCTTGCTGTTTCAATGCCTCCCGGTGAAATCTCAGTCTCTTCTTTCCTCTCTTACCATTTTTCCTGCCAGGCAATATATAAAACCAGTGACATCTGCAACATCGTTGGCTGGTTGGTACCCTTCTATCCTGAGGCCTATTACTATGTTCAGCGCTTCTATTCCCGGACTAACAGCTTTGTGAAGATCAAACTGGAGCCAGAGAGGCTGAGGTGTGGCCAGAAGAGGTCAATCACTGTGTACTATGTCCTGAACAAAAAAGGGTATGAGAAGCTCACCCAAGTGAAGTTCTACTATGTGGTAAGTATCAGGTGGTTTCTCTGTTCCTAAAATAACTTGGTCTGGGATTTGCCCAGCCAAATCCCAAACACTGCTATCTCGGTGATTGATCTAATAGGAACCTTTCAAGGCTAATTTCTTCCTTCATTCACATTGCTGCACAATCTGGCAAACAGGACTACAAGAGCAAGGGCAAGACTGGGGTGGTTTGGCAGAACCATCTGTGTTTGGGAAATCTAATCTATCTTACCTTGGACATGCATTACCTGATGTCATATTGAGCCAGATACTACAATCCTAATAATGTATTTCCCATTCTCTGATCATCTCCTTGAATGGGTTGTTCCCACCTCCCCTCCTGTCTCCTATCTCACGGTATCTTTCTGTGCACAGGTGATGGTGAAAGGCAAGATTGTCCTCAGTGGCCAAAAGCATGTCAACACCAGTCGTGGTAGGTATGGTCTTTGGTGCAAAGATAATGAGAAATAGAGAAGAAGGCAGAGCTGCTGGGATCTGAGCAGCAGGCAAGACTAGTACAGCATCTTTCCCCATACATGTGCACATGTGTGTGAGTGAGAGTGAGGGAGTCAGGCTGGTAACCACAACTTAGAAGACCCCTATAGAATTAAGAGTGACTGTCTATTCCATCAAACTCTCCAAAGAGGCAGTGGGGGAAAACAGCCTGTGTCACCTCTGGGACGTAAAGGCCTATGGAGATCCTCCCAGAAGAAAACTGGAGCAATGGACTTGCTGAGACAATGCAGAGTGTAGCTAAGGGAATAAAGCGATGGCACATATCTTGTGAGATGTCTGCCATTGGGATGTTGAATCTGAATTCTGATCTGGAATCTGACTGGATTTGGGATACATTTGCAGACCCTAATTCTAATTTTGGTGGCATCTGGATCACTGCCACACCAGTCCATCACCAAGATATTTCCTCTCTGCACCATCTCTGTCTCCTGGCATTTTACACACATGCCAGCGAGGATGGCAGTTTCTAGAACAGTTCTCTGTGATTCGCTTTTGATTGTCCCTTTCTCCCAGCAGCTCTAAAAGGCACTTTCTCCATCCCACTTGCTGTCAGCGAGAAGATTGCTCCTGCTGCCCGGATGTTGGTCTATACTGTGCACCCATCCAAGGAGCTAGTGGCTGACAGTGCCAGATTCCAGATTGAGAAGTGCTTCAAGAATAAGGTGAGTGAACATAGGATGTCTCTGTGCTGTATAACTTTTAACCTTTGAGGACTTTTATTTCTGCCTGCCCCTCACACCCTCAAATCTCTCCTTCAAGCTTCCTTTCCCATCCCCTGTGCTCCTTCTGATCTCTTACTGTGACATTTGTCTACTTTTCCTCTTAGCTTCATGACTGTGCTGTTCACTCTTCTTATAAGTAGCTCTCATTGTCTGCCCTCAAGTGCCCATTCTCTCTTAACATCCACTTCTTCTGAATCCTTCCTAAACTGATCTTCACCTCCCTGTCCTCACCTCCTACCCCACATCTTATTTATCCAATAGATAATTCTCCCAGGTAGGGAACATGTATTACTCTGCTGGCCACATCTCCAGGTACCCGCTGAATTTCAATGCCATGATAAAATTTGATATCCTTTCCTTTATTCCTCTAGCTGCTCTGGCTGCTCAGGACTCTTCGAGGGGGTGCGATGGGCAGGGAGGGCAGTAGTCTTCTTCTGAAGACATATAAAACATAAAAGTGGCAACAGGCAAGTGGTAGGAATTGGAGTACATTGGATGGCAGAGATGAGCCTTTTTGGTCACAGTCCCGCGCCTTTTGCCCAAGGCCCCTCACCTTCTGTGCCCACCAGAGTCCAGCCCCCTCAAAGTGTGCACTGGCCTTTGCCCCCTACCCGAGAATAGCACCCTCAGCCCAGGATAGCACAGCCCCAGTCTCCCCAGGCCCCAGAGCTCTGGAGTGCCAGTGGGAGGTGGGGCCCCAGCCTGTCTTGAAGCTCCAGAGAGCAGGCGAGCAGCATGGCCCCAGCTCCCTAGGCCTTGCCTGCCCACTGAACCTCTGGCAAGGAAACCTCCTCCTTCCCCCCACAACCAAGTCTCCAGCCCCAGTGCTGGGTGGCCAGAGCGGCCCCAGCACTGGGAGGGCAAGTGGTGCAGCATGACCCCAGTGTGCCTGTTCATCCCAACAGTTTGCCTCACTGCTTCTGGCCAGCATGTCCTCTCTTGCCAATGTCAACTAATGCCTGGGATACTGGAGAGCGCACAAAAGCCATTGCATTTACTTTTATAATCATTGCAGTAATTGAGCTATTTAACTGGCCTTGTTTATACTTTTAACTCTGGGTATGTCTACACTACCCTCCTAGTTCGAACTAGGAGGGTAGTGTAGACATACCCAGAGTTAAAAGTATAAACAAGGCCAGTTAAATAGCTCAATTACTGCAATGATTATAAAAGTAAATGCAATGGCTTTTGTGCGCTCTCCAGTATCCCAGGCATTAGTTGACATTGGCAAGAGAGGACATGCTGGCCAGAAGCAGTGAGGCAAACTGTTGGGATGAGACTAAACGAGGGAATGGATGGATTTAGCCTTTTTGACCTTTTCTATTTTTCTTTTTCCTTTGGATCTTGTCTACGGAATGACTGTGACTTGCACAGACTTGCTTTTCTTTTGTACCTTTGGCACGTCTCTGCTTTCTCTGTCACCTCTCTCTGGGTTGCCCAAGATAGTCAGCTGACACTCCCGTTACCTGGGTAGCTGGATTCAGATGAAACACCTTACCAAGGGCTTGTGCAGTTCAGTCTCTGATTGGTGGCAGTGTCTTGCTGTTTCAATGCCTCCCGGTGAAATCTCAGTCTCTTCTTTCCTCTCTTACCATTTTTCCTGCCAGGCAATATATAAAACCAGTGACATCTGCAACATTGTTGGCTGGTTGGTACCCTTCTATCCTGAGGCCTATTACTATGTTCAGCGCTTCTATTCCCGGACTAACAGCTTTGTGAAGATCAAACTGGAGCCAGAGAGGCTGAGGTGTGGCCAGAAGAGGTCAATCACTGTGTACTATGTCCTGAACAAAAAAGGGTATGAGAAGCTCACCCAAGTGAAGTTCTACTATGTGGTAAGTATCAGGTGGTTTCTCTGTTCCTAAAATAACTTGGTCTGGGATTTGCCCAGCCAAATCCCAAACACTGCTATCTCGGTGATTGATCTAATAGGAACCTTTCAAGGCTAATTTCTTCCTTCATTCACATTGCTGCACAATCTGGCAAACAGGACTACAAGAGCAAGGGCAAGACTGGGGTGGTTTGGCAGAACCATCTGTGTTTGGGAAATCTAATCTATCTTACCTTGGACATGCATTACCTGATGTCATATTGAGCCAGATACTACAATCCTAATAATGTATTTCCCATTCTCTGATCATCTCCTTGAATGGGTTGTTCCCACCTCCCCTCCTGTCTCCTATCTCATGGTATCTTTCTGTGCACAGGTGATGGCGAAAGGCAAGATTGTCCTCAGTGGCCAAAAGCATGTCAACACCAGTCGTGGTAGGTATGGTCTTTGGTGCAAAGATAATGAGAAATAGAGAAGAAGGCAGAGCTGCTGGGATCTGAGCAGCAGGCAAGACTAGTACAGCATCTTTCCCCATACACGTGCACATGTGTGTGAGTGAGAGTGAGGGAGTCAGGCTGGTAACCACAACTTAGAAGACCCCTATAGAATTAAGAGTGGCTGTCTATTCCATCAAACTCTCCAAAGAGGCAGTGGGGGAAAACAGCCTGTGTCACCTCTGGGACGTAAAGGCCTATGGAGATCCTCCCAGAAGAAAACTGGAGCAATGGACTTGCTGAGACAATGCAGAGTGTAGCTAAGGGAATAAAGCGATGGCACATATCTTGTGAGATGTCTGCCATTGGGATGTTGAATCTGAATTCTGATCTGGAATCTGACTGGATTTGGGATACATTTGCAGACCCTAATTCTAATTTTGGTGGCATCTGGATCACTGCCACACCAGTCCATCACCAAGATATTTCCTCTCTGCACCATCTCTGTCTCCTGGCATTTTACACACATGCCAGCGAGGATGGCAGTTTCTAGAACAGTTCTCTGTGATTCGCTTTTGATTGTCCCTTTCTCCCAGCAGCTCTAAAAGGCACTTTCTCCATCCCACTTGCTGTCAGCGAGAAGATTGCTCCTGCTGCCCGGATGTTGGTCTATACTGTGCACCCATCCAAGGAGCTAGTGGCTGACAGTGCCAGATTCCAGATTGAGAAGTGCTTCAAGAATAAGGTGAGTGAACATAGGATGTCTCTGTGCTGTATAACTTTTAACCTTTGAGGACTTTTATTTCTGCCTGCCCCTCACACCCTCAAATCTCTCCTTCAAGCTTCCTTTCCCATCCCCTGTGCTCCTTCTGATCTCTTACTGTGACATTTGTCTACTTTTCCTCTTAGCTTCATGACTGTGCTGTTCCACTCTTCTTATAAGTAGCTCTCATTGTCTGCCCTCAAGTGCCCATTCTCTCTTAACATCCACTTCTTCTGAATCCTTCCTAAACTGATCTTCACCTCCCTGTCCTCACCTCCTACCCCACATCTTATTTATCCAATAGATAATTCTCCCAGGTAGGGAACATGTATTACTCTGCTGGCCACATCTCCAGGTACCCGCTGAATTTCAATGCCATGATAAAATTTGATATCCTTTCCTTTATTCCTCTAGCTGCTCTGGCTGCTCAGGACTCTTCGAGGGGGTGCGATGGGCAGGGAGGGCAGTAGTCTTCTTCTGAAGACATATAAAACATAAAAGTGGCAACAGGCAAGTGGTAGGAATTGGAGTACATTGGATGGCAGAGATGAGCCTTTTTGGTCACAGTCCCGCGCCTTTTGCCCAAGGCCCCTCACCTTCTGTGCCCACCAGAGTCCAGCCCCCTCAAAGTGTGCACTGGCCTTTGCCCCCTACCCGAGAATAGCACCCTCAGCCCAGGATAGCACAGCCCCAGTCTCCCCAGGCCCCAGAGCTCTGGAGTGCCAGTGGGAGGTGGGGCCCCAGCCTGTCTTGAAGCTCCAGAGAGCAGGCGAGCAGCATGGCCCCAGCTCCCTAGGCCTTGCCTGCCCACTGAACCTCTGGCAAGGAAACCTCCTCCTTCCCCCCACAACCAAGTCTCCAGCCCCAGTGCTGGGTGGCCAGAGCGGCCCCAGCACTGGGAGGGCAAGTGGTGCAGCATGACCCCAGTGTGCCTGTCCCAGCCTCTGGCACCACAACACCAGGTTGAGGAGGGGGTCTGGAGCATGGGTGGTGCCAGGTGTGGCAGTTTGGGAAGGCAGTGCCTCCCCTGCCTGTGCTATCTGCCGCCCATGCCTAGGACAGGGACTCCTAGGAGGTTCTGTCTGATGATGAGGCCTTCATCCTGCAGGGGGAAGAATGAGGAGGGCAATGGGTGGAGGCCTGACCATCTTGCCACAGGACTGGCATTCACACACAGATTTCACCCATCTGACACCTCTGCTCAATTCCAGGTCCGGCTGCAGTTTTCTGTGAAGCAAGGGCTCCCCGCCTCTAACGTCAGCCTCCACGTGGAGGCGGCAGCCAACTCCCAGTGTGCGCTACTGGCTGTGGATGAGAGCGTGCTGCTCCTGAAGCCTGAGCAAGAGCTGTCTGCTGAGACCGTAAGCCTTCAAGTTGTCTGCCTGGGGTTGCGCAGGACCGTGTGCTGCTTCCTTTCACGCTCACTCTTCTCCTGTCCCTCTTCACTCTTCTTCTGTCCCATGCAGCTCTGCTGCCGTCCACTCCATGCCTGATCTTGCCCAGTTCTGTGGCTTGATCCCTTACTTCTCTCCCCTGTAAATAAGAGGCAAAAGACCCCCACCATTCCCTAGTGGGCAGAGCCTTATGCCCCCTCTCTTCTCCACTGGCCACTCTGGACAACAGATGAAAGACTATTTAGGGAAGTTATATTCACAATGGCAGGACCTGATAACATTCATCCTAGGGTACTGAAGGCTCTAGCTGAGGCAATCTTCGAGTCATTAGCAGTTATCTTGGAGAACTCATGGAAGACAGGGCAGGACCCAGAGGAGTGGAGAAGGGCAAATATAGTATTTATCTTTAAAAAGGGGAACCACAACAACTCCCAATGACCCCTTTTGTACCTTAGGAACCACCCCAGCAGGAAAGTGTGAAACATGATCCCAAAAGGTAACAGAATCTTTCTGGATGATTATGAGCCTGCCTGAATGATCATGAGTCAGCAGTGTGACACCCCTAGTGCAGGCGGCTATCTCCTGAAAGCTGTTGCTCCTTTCTAGATACCACACATCAGACCTCAGCAAGGCTGACTGGAGAGAGGTCAGGAGGGGACAAGGTAAAGGAGGAGAGACCCAGACTGGTGTCCCAGCCCTAGCAGCAGCCATTGGTTACTTGTGCAGATCTCTCCCCCCACACAGGCTTTGTGTTTGTTTCCCCTTCAATAGGTGTACAACCTACTTCCCTTTCAAGACTTATCTGGTTACCACTTCAGTGGGCTGAACCTGGAAGACGACAGCAAAGAGCCATGTGTCCCAGCTGACAACATCTTTTACAATGGCTTGTATTACATGCCTGTATCCTCTGACTTCGGCCCAGATGTCTATCTGTATTTCAAGGCAAGCTGGCTAGAATTTCTTTAACTAAGCCCACAGTTTGCTGTTACCTAGTTTAGAGTGGAAGAGAAAAGCTAGGAAGGGGGATAGATGAAATGTAAGTGCCCTTCTTGGTTTTCTCCCTTGAAAGTCATGAAATGCAGCAGGCATCTTGTGTTGGCTGTATATCCTGTTCCCCAGACATGTCCACGTGTGCTTCATCTCATTGGCAGGTAAAGCGGTTTAGCTATTCAGGAACTTTTCAATGAAACTTTTTTTCCCCTCAGAAAATGCCAGTTTGTAAAACTGAGACTTTAAAGTGGAAAGGACTGGTTTTGACAAAACTGTAATTGGGAAGGTTTCTCATATCGTGTGTGGAATTTCTGGTGAAAACTAGAAAGAGAGGCCCACCTCAGAGTGGCTGGGTATGACAGGGCCCCAAATTGCCAACGAGATTAAAAGGAACTGGGATGCCTGGGTATTAGGAACAAAGGTGAAGACTATGGAAGAGCTAGCTCTCCTGATGCAGATGGAATAGCTCCTAGAGGGCCTTTCCAGAGATACATCCAAGATGGGAACCCTAAGGATATAAGAGAGGCAGGAGATATAGGAGCCAGGTGGATGGAAGTGATGAAGGAAAATAAAAGTAACAGCCAGGCAAGTACCAGAAGGAACACCCAGAGATGGCATCCCACAACAGGGGACCATCCAAGAATCCACCTCTCAGGGAAGGGCCCTGTCTACCTCAAGGGAGGCCACAGACTTCCTCTCACCCCCTACCCCATTCTCCGGACACCCACCAGGCTCCAGTGATACACCAAACCTGCCATGTTTTAGATGTAATGAACCTGGGGGGAGGGAGCACAGTAGTCCTGTCCAGATTTAAATCATTCTGTGTGTGTGTCAGCTCCTGGTGTTAATTCTCACATACAAAGAAAGCAGGCAGGGAACCTATATATATTACAATTCAAATTTCAAGCCTCTTATATTGATTAGCTCTCCCTGCCCCCTGTCTGACACCTTTGCTAGGTACCTGAGTTAATCCCTTAGTCACCGGGTGCTGGTCAGCACTCCCTCTGTTCATCGTGGGGTAAACAATGGGGATGAAATTTGCAGATGATATCAAATTACTCAAAACAGTTAAGTCCAAAGCTGTCTGCAGGGAGTTACAAAGGGAACTCACAAAATGGGTGACTAGGCAGCACAAAGGCAGATGGAATTCAGTATTGATAAGTACAAAGTAATGCGCAAGGAAATATATAATCTCAACTAGGCATATAAAATGATAGGATCTAAATTTACTTATTACCTCTCAAAAAAGAGTTCTTGGAATCATTGTGGGTAGTTCTTTCTAAACATCTGCTCAATGTGCAATGCCAGTCTAAAAAGCTGACAGAGCATTGGGACTCATTAGGAAAGGAACAGATAGTAAGAGAAAAAATATCTTATTGCCTTTATATAAATTCATGGTACACTCACAGGGTGAATACTGCATGCAGATCTGGTTGCCTCATCTAAAAAAAAAATATTGGATTTGGAAAAGCTATAGAAATGCCAGAGAGATCCAGAGGGCAGAAGCGAGTGAAGCTGGTACTAGGATGGGGGAGGGAGGGAAATAGTACCAGTAAGAAGAGCTTGGCGGTTAGATTGGCACTGCTCACTTGTGGTATTATCCACTCTCTTGTAACTGAAAAGCTGTGGATGGGGAAGGAGGGCAGGTTGGAATAAAGCTGTGCTAGGAAGCAAACATAGTTGATGGTTTTTTGTTTTGATTTTGAAGGAGATGGGCATGAAGGTTTTAACCAATTCTCATCTACGTCAGCCTGTCGTATGTGGAAGTGTCAGACCAACCCCCGATTTCCTTAGCCGTCCTGGTTTTGGGGAGAGTTTGTCCACACCCATGGCTACTGCCAAATTGTCAGGTAATACATGTTGTACTGGCCTTAACTGTGTCTCCTTGGTCCGGCAACATCCGTGGTCCAGCACCAACCACCCATGTTCCTCGGCTCTGTGGTCCAGGAACAGGGAGGTCTGGCGGCAGGGCAGGACCACCGTAGGGGGCACTAGCGACTCAACCAGGAGCCCTGGTGTATGTAGGCAGCGGGGCCTGGGCGGCACAGTGGGGAACTCTGGCCCCAGCTGCGGAGCTCTGGCCCAGCTGCACAGCTCTGGCCCCATCTGTGGAGCAAGGCAGCTATGGAGCTCTGTTCTGGCTGTGGAGGGAGCCGTGGCCCTAGCCACAGTGCCAGGCAGCTACTGAGCTCTGGTCCAGCTGTGGCTGGGGCAGCAGTGAAGGCAGGCTGGTGCCCTAACCCGATGGCAGTCTGAGTCAGGAGAGGAGGGACCTCCCCTGGTCTGGCAAACCCCCTCGTTTGGGGCCAGTCAGGTCCCGAGGGTGCCAGACCAGCGAGGTCCAACCTGCAGTGGGTGGCAGGAAAAGTGGTTTTTTTTCTGTATGGATCTGTGAGATTAGAACACTTGTGGGGAGAAGGGGCTTTATTTGGAGGGGACCTAGGACCCTGTGTGCATGTTAGCATTCATGAGTACACACATCTTTATCTGGGCACAAAGGGCACAGGATTTCAGGTAATGCCAGAGGAATCCTGGCACCTCTAAGCCATGGCTTCCAATCCACTCTGAGAGCACAGAACAAAATATAGCCATTTCGGACCAGCTGGCTATTGGTTCCAGTGTGAGCAGTTTGTAGAGAGAGGCCACATGGCACTGGGGTTAGAGCACAGAGCTGGGGGCTCTGGGGCAATCTACACCAGTGAGACAGTGGTCTGCCCTATAAATCTGGGTGCCTAAAAGTGCTCTGCAACTGGGCTCCCCTACCTGAACACTCTAAGCTATATGTCGGATCTGTATG